TACTTTATTCTCAATGACTTTTTCGTAGCTGCTAATTAACGTTCTAAAGTCAACGATATAATCCAGCGTCGTTTGACGTAATTCGTAACGATTCGATTTAAATGGCGGTGTGTAAATAATTCGCCGATCGAGTTCGATTTATTTCGAAAAACGTTCTGTAATGACTCGCGTAAAGAAGTTGTAATTATGTACGTCTCTAAATCTGTCGATAAGATAAATAACAAAAATGTTGGCAAGGCAGCAGATATCGCCAACTTAGTTAATTAACGTACGTAGAAAATTTCGCGACTGGGAAGTGCCGTTACGTTAACTGCATCACGCGGGTGAACGGAGAAGCGATACAGTATAAATCTAATTATACATTTATACTGTATAATTACATAATTTAGTATTCATATAGACGTTCCCCTTTAATACGAGATATCAGGGTTTCAGGTAGACCCAGAAGCGACGAACGTCATTCGTTCTTTGTAGGTACCAGTGCGAGTTGCTCTTTCTAGAAGACTAGTCAAACTAGTGTAACACGAACGAGGACGGAGGCGAGCGAGGAGAAACTATTGTTGCTCGCGGTCGGCAACAATACCGGCACGCTTCCTTTGCCACCGCGAAAAATAATCCAGGCTTTGTCTATGATATACACCGCAATGCTCCTGCAGACGGTCGCATTTTGCGGCGTACAAACATCGTTTTCAGAGTAAACCCACGTTCCCACATTGTCCTTCTGCCGCGTTACCGAATACTACGCTTTCCGTCATACAAACCGATACCGCGTCGCGCGATACGTTCAAGAATGAAACTTGTAAGTTATAAGCTAAATTGTCTAATTTCAAGTATAGCTCTATGTGCGTTCTCTTTTTCTCTTCTTTCTGATAAAACTATTAGTATATTTGTACTTGAAAAATTGTATGTGTTTCATTAAACTATTATTTTAATATAATTAAATATACAGGCAGTTTAAAAGTTGTTTCTCAATAAAAGCGTATTTATACAGTGCAATAATTAACATTTTATTTTCTCGCATGTAAATTATATATTGAGATATTAAAATATATTTCAATGTTTAAAATTATCAAATCCTTTAAAAGTATTTTTACGCCAATTTACATGAAGCATCTTGTCAGCTCGGCAAGCTCGCTGATTATTAATTCATTCGTATTACCGGCTGGCGTGTACCGTAACCCATTGCGACTGAAACGCCCCGCCGTCATTAAACTATGATAACGAGGCCCCCGGGCGACGATAAGCCGGTGCTTAACGTAACTCCTTTTACCCACTCCTTTAACTTCCTTAACCCGACACGCCGACACGACGACACCTGCCCTTGAGCGAAACGTCAATTTTTCGAATGGCACATCGAGATTTCCTCGGAGAGCACCATCGTGCATCTTTCATCGGATCGCCCTGATTGCATCTCCGAACGTCACGCGCGATGTTTTAATGATCGCCTGCTTTGTTATCGAGTACTTTGAGTCTATACGCGGTTATTTCGCCGAGAAAAGATCCCGCGCGATAAAGCTGCGCGCAAACATAGTAATTTTAATATAGAATGCCTCGTACGTATAAAATGATTATATATGATACATGTACATATTACAAGATATTACGCGCACACACAGTGTATCTGCGAACTCAACGCAGAAGCTCTTGAAGCTACGTCGAGATCGCGATGAAAGTTCGCAAAACAGAATAATACTAAAACCAATTACGCGAATATCGGAAGGAAATCCGGAGTGCCATATCCTCTCTATCTACTGCTGCGCGGCGTAGAAAAAGTTAATGTCAATCGATGGAAAGCACGTCGTAACGCGGCGATTATTCCGCCAGCAGAGTCGGTGTGAATAAGCGCGAAATGTTTTGCCTTTTCGAAGCGCCGTGATTTTTTTAGGTATACTATTGTAGTTCCTTGACGAAATGGAAGACGGAGATTTCTACATCTGGGAAACCGCCGCCTGTTCACAGTGTGCCGCGGCACTGTACCGACAAAAAAGCACCGTGACTCGATGCTGCGAAGAGAAATCAGGCGACAGATCGATCGACGGGTGGTAAAGCCACGCCGTCTCGGTGAAGAGCCGCGATCTTCTGAATCTTGTCTTCGCTTGCGCCCTGCTGTTTCTAAGTTTGTTTACTATTTTTATCAGTCGCGTTGTCGCTGCAGCCGGATCTTGTTCCGTCGCGAAATTCATTTGACGCGAAAAAGCGTGCTAATTTATCTTGTTGCGCGTAAACGGATAACGTTCGTGACCGCGACGGTTTTTTAAATTTTTTTTAGGGTGGCCGCGCCTAATTGGATCACCCACGTTTCGCGGAATTGTCCGTTGCCCTAAAAAGTCATCCGCGTCGTAGGAGGTCCTCCCGAGAATAGATTTATTAATTTCATGGAATTGTTTTTCACGGATCCCTGGGATTGCATGTGAGAATCGCACGGTCTGATCAAGCGGAACCCCCACAGGCCGTGCCGAATCTCAGTTTCCCGTTCTATAAGTCGGACGATCTTTCACCTGAGCCTATTCTAACTCTAGTCCCTAGTGTCTATCCCACCAAAAATAAGCAATCGTCAAAGAAGAAATATCTGATATAAATTATATTATAAACAATGTTCGATCTTTTAATTTTCATAAAAAAATAACTTTGCGTCTAGAAACCGATCAGTTGCAGAGGATGTGCCATCATTGTTATTTGCGATTCATCGCGAGTGATAATTTCCGGATACCTATACGGACCGTCTTCGCATCTACGGAGAGAGCGTGCATTGTGTGAGACAAAATGTAAGAAAGGAGCCGGCGAGAAACGCCAAATCGGTGCACCGCGAGCGGCGAGGTCAGAAGGCTGCCCATCCGGGTTGAATGGCAGCATTTAAAACGGCTTAAAGTCAGCGTGGACGTAATCGGTCCTGTCGATCTTCGGCAGCGCCCCGCGCTCGCTTATAATCCCCCAAGCGCGAGGAGATGAACACGTTGAGACCTCATTCAGCGGGGCCTCGACGACGCGGCCGGTGTCTCTCGACCGATCCGGAGAGAATCTCCGCGCGTCGGCACTGATCATTGTGCCCCACGCGTTATGGACCCATAATAGGCTCACGTCGCTTCCATCGTTGTCCGATGCCGATACGAGAATAAAGACTGTCCGTCGATCGGCTCGCTCTGGTTTTCTCTTCTCACCTCCCCCTTGGAGAGATGGAATCCTCCTCGTCGCCCTGCGTCTCGAGTCTCTCATTGTGATCGTGGATCGGTGATCGTGGATCGCGGTACTGGAGCGTACCGATACACCATATATATACATGACACCCTCGTGTTTCCTCGTCATGCCATTGCCGGCTGAACGTGAATCCCATGTCTGTGCACCAGATAAAATCGTGATCGATGGTATGTGCGATCGATGTTTCGCCCTCGTGTCTCCGCTTGGACGCCTCTCTTTGTACGTCGGAAAAATTGGACGTTTCTAGAGCGAGATCTTACGCAACTACCTAGCCCGTGATCAAAAACCGCTCGGAAAGTCATTTATGTAAGCGCCTTATGATGCATCATGGTAAAAAGAAATGGAATGGAGAGTGTTGCCATAAGCGAAAAGCGAGCGTTTTCGCACAAAAATTAAGGTCGTCTCTACGATTCGTAATCGTTGTCGTAACGCAGTAAGGGCCGCAGTATATCCTAGACGCAAGAGAGAAACGCATAAGAAGTCGCCGCCGCACAGGATGTCGGGATAATACACATTATAGTCCGGCCGTCATTACGTGCGAGTCCACCGTCCTGCGATACGTGCGTAACGCGAGCCGGAAGGACGATTCCCGCGTGTCTGCTTTTCCTGCATGAATGAAATGTAATTTAAGCTTACTCAAGCACCCGTATTTTTATTCATCCCACATTAAGGTATGGACGCTTCTTGCGAGTCTCTCTGTGCAACGCCGTCTCATCGCCGCGGCAAAATGTCGTCAGCTAGACATCGCGCGTCGACGTCGACCGCGATTCTTTCGGTCGACTCTTATTTTCGCTTTTTTCGCCTTTATTCGGGAACACCCGGTGGGCATTCGCGACGCTGAACCGCTGTCGCGAATCGTTGCAGAAGATTTGAATCGCTCCTCAGGTGGAAAGCGACTCGGCAGCCTTTAATTTGACGCGACGCGACGCGTCAAGGTAACGTCCAGGGGCAGGGGAGAGAACGGGCCGCACGGAAAGAGGCAGGAAGGGGGTAAAAATCGGTGAGGAGGAATCATGGCTGGATGCACTCCCTCCCTGTGTTCACGCACTTTTACCGTCGGCCAGTATCGGTATTGCCCCTGCATTTTTCGAAGCAGGGAAGGGGAGGGGAGAGGGGGAGAGACCGCGTACGACCGACCTGTTGAGCGCGTCGTCGTGTCGAGTCGAATTGCGTGTATCGCGATGTACATACTGTACATAGCGACTGCAACGAAAAATTGCAGCGGCGTTTTTATGACGATTGCTGCTCAGTTGAGAAAAACTCGCTTCGCGACCCGTAATTCGCTGACAAAGAACATTCGATCACTTCCGGTTGAAATCGCCTCCTCGCTTCTTTCGATCGCAAAATTATGACATGTGCAATTTTGAAATGATTGTGTCATGTCAATAAATATAAAATATGAAACAAAAAATACATATATACAAATCTCTACGAACGTAATTTAGACGTTTTATTCGTCTCAGCAAATTTGTCTTAGCAAAAGCAACGGCTGTTTCGATTATATAGAATACCGATTCGTTTCGTCAGTTGAAAATTGCACAGATAATTAAGAGAAAATGCTTCGCTTAACACTTGTCTTATTCGAGCTAATTTCTTCCGGTTGTCAACGGGTAGAAATCAAAACAAAGCATACTTTCTTGAAACGTGCCGTTTGCGGCGCTCCACTTTCTCTCGCGCGTCTTCTTTTTTAATGACACTCATTAGGATCATTTATAATGGTCAACGACCGCGTACATGACGAACGGCAAATTACATTTTACATAATGTCATCCCTACTCGATGCATTCGCATCGCGGGGACACGCATTCATATAAAGTGAGAGAGAGAGAGCGCGGCTGGACAATCGATTGACAGTTTACTACTCGATGCGATTTCCGAAGAAGATGGCCAAGTTTGCAATCGTCACGATCGTTTTGTTGGCGAGCACTGCCTCGCAGTCCCAGAGGATAATTAGGGAAGCACCTACACAATCCGCAGGTGAAAGATATATAACCAAGTAAAATTAATTTATTGAAAAATTATATTACTACTGGAGTTATACACACGACTAGATTTTTATAATTCTCGATTAACTTAAACTTCTTTATCTTTTTTGGTCACAAGATGCGAATGCAACGACCATCAAAGACATTCTGCAGAAGATCTCGAACGGGGATTCGAATACGAAGGATGATGTAAAACTCGTCGATATCATTAAGGAGGAAATCATGAAGACCGCGGAGGAAATTAAGACGCCCACAGGATCGATCGAAGCAGCAGCTAAAAAAGCGCAGATATTGGTGTCCGAATTGACCTCGGCATACACGAACGCTATTTATAAATCCAAAACTCCCGAAGATGGTCGCGAGAATTTTGCACGCTTCCAGACTACCGTCCAAATGATCGTGGAATTCATCAAAAACGGCCAATTCTTGGCATAATCTAAAAAATCCTATTTTCTTAAACTGTCTATTTCAACCTGGCATATTTATCCGTTAAACGTAGTACCTGTCTATCGCCAACTTCACAAATGTATCATAGAAAATCAATAAATATAATTGTGAGTTAATCATGCAAAGTGCACCGTCCGTCCTTTCACTCTTAAGCGTGTGGCTTATAATTATATTAAGAGTAAATAATAAACGTGTCGATAATAACTATAAAGACACGAGAAAATTCTTTATCCCGTAGACAATAAAGAGAAATAGTTTTTAAATTTGTATCACGAGGCCGCGCGAGCCCTTCGGCAATCGTTTGTATTATTTTGCTGGCAAGACGAGAGCGCGAGCGGCGGTAACGCAGAATTATTCTTGCTGACGTACGACTCAGAGGCGGACGATCCATTGTAAAAGCGGCGGTGGGCTCATAATCTGGCGATGTAGGATCTCTCCAACCCGTGGGGCTGACCGGAACTGCGCCTATGCTCTTTCGCCGGAAGCGCCGCTGCCACATGTAGTAATATAAATTATAATGCCTTTACGGTTTTTCCTTTTGTAGATTTGCATTTAAAACACCGGAATGGCATTGTCGTCGAAATCGCCGAACGCAATTTTCATGGAAATAAGAAAGCTATTTCTCTGCGCAGCTCCCCCGCGCCGATACGCGCGGCTCTCGCGGTTTCATTCCAATCCCCCTTTTTTCCCTTCTTCCTGCCGCGCGAAAAAAGGAGAAGATTCGCGCATCGCGAGACGCAGGATTCGATTCGCATCTAATCGTGCCAAGGCTGATCAGAGATCGCGGCTTTCACTGATGTTGGCACAACGAAGCTCTATCTCCGAATCTCTATCGCGGTGATTCCTCGCCTCGTCTAACACTTTCGGGAGAAAGGAAACTTTCCATCCGCGAAGGATATGTAATAATTGTTCTCGCGAAATACGCGAGTCGCGTTGCTGGCGACGAAAATAAAATCGTGACGCACGCGCGGGCGCGCGAGCCGCGCGGCGGCCATCCATGAAAGTGGAAACCTGGCTCGTATGAGAGGTGGATGGATGACTTCTTTCGGCTCGCATGTAGGACGCAAAGGAAAATATGCATGAAACTTTAGTCGCAAGCCTCGATACTTCACTTCGTATTCGCTCGATACTTTACTCTCCGTATTCGTCGCGACATTTCGATCATTCCTTTCTCTTTCCCTTTTTTAAATATTTTCTCTTGCAATACTTCCAACGTTATTATCTTTGATGATTGTCTATAGCATTAGCAACTCTACTAGCAACGCCGCGCACATCCGTTTATCTGTTCTAAAACATCCGTTTCCTACGAGTTGCATAAACTCGAAGTTCGCTATCCTCACGTTGTCTTCGTGCGCCGCGGCCGTCTGAAAATACGACGGAGCATCCCGGATTTTACATACGTGGAAGATTGATTCGAGCACGAACTTGCGAGAAGCGCGGATAATACAATATAACGCCAGGATAATATTTTTATTTTGTTACGCGAAGGAAGACAATAAACGATGGCTCGGCGTCAGCGTGTGCTACCGACTAAGATGGCTGCAACGACGAAACAATGCGGCATTGTATATCGGCAGCCTCAACCGCCAAAGCCAAGCACCGTGCTAAGTCATGAACGGCGTTACACGACGCACACGCCTGTAGACTCCTGAATTTCCGGATCAACCCTCGATCGTCGCACGCTATACGGAACCCCAATCTGACCCCGTTACGGTTCGTAAACGTCCGAAAGCGCTCGTACTTTGAACGAGAATCTCTTGTAATTGCGTAACGTTTGCGAGCGTTTTTATTTATTTATCCATCGTCGCGGAATCTTTTATGTCGTATCGACTTTTCGTACGTCCATCGTCGAATAAAAATTATATGTTTAAATTCTCTTTTTCGGCACAAGCGCGAAAATATGTGTCGATAAGACACGGGCTCGAGGAGGAATGCAATTCAAGGGGGGCTGGAGACAAGTGCACGCGAAACTGCAGCGTTCAACCGCGATACCGAAAGAGCTCGTTCGCTTACTCGCTTTGCTTGCGCGCGGCGGGAGCAACATTCCGCGGGGCATAACTCGAGCTGGCCTCGAGCTCACGAACGGAGACGACGGGTCACGACGCCATGTGTGCGGCCTTACCCAACCACACCCACTATCTATTTATTTATGTCTACCTCACAGGCTTTTTACTCGTGCCGTCGAGCTTTCATTGCTGCGCGTGCTGCGTCGTGAACAATCGACGAACGGGGCCCCGCGGCCCCTTCGCGTCCGCGAAAAGTCCCCGACGACGACGACGGCGGCGACGAACAAATCGTGGCCGTCGCGCGTACGCGGACACCGATCGGAAAATCTACCACCTGCGTGCCCTGCAGTTGCGTCGTACGGTACCTATAACTTCGTATCTCCGCGGCTTTGCGGCACGTGGAATCCCTACGGACGATTCCAAGACGCGGACCGTATGCGGTCGCGCACGGTTTAAGTATATGCAAATATACGTCATGCTTTAGGGGATCCGCGTCTGGGTATGAATTCCTAGAGTTAAATAATAGGAGTATTAACTAACAGAGGTCGACTAACAGGTGTATTCGTCATCGTATCGAGTGAACAGATATGACGCACGATGAAAAAAAAAGAAGAAATGAAAACGTAATTCACAAATTGTGCATAATACCAAAATATATAAATATATAATTTTAATTTTAGTTCAGTCTTTTAATGTTGTTAATTTTAAATAAATATTGTCTGCTAGGATACCAGAATTATGCTTCATAATAATAATAAATTCACATACGCGTCGTGTAAAAATGCGAGAGAGATGGAAAAATTCCCACGTTGATAAGATCCGGTCAAAGAGGTCCGCGGTTAAAAGCGGTTTCAGATCATCAACAAATGGCCTGCGTGCAGATATATTTCGCGCACGCGGCTTCCACGTTTATATCTCAGGTAATGCCGCTTTGTATCTCGCGGAACGTTTATCGGATGGCATCGCGTCCTCACGATCCTGCTGAATACAAATACGAGATGCGCACGGCGCAATTTTTTATCCGCGGCAACTCGCGGAGACTCGCTTTTATCGCGCGTTCTTTTTCACGAGATTAAAAATATTACTTCAACAAACAATTTTGAATCACGTGCGAACGAGGATAAAAGAAATTGTGTTGAATACCGAGGAAAAAAGTATAGATAAAGGTTCAGTAATGTCATGGACGATTGGTTTAGTATTCCAATAGCGATAACGCAAGTGGTCTAAAAGCAATTATTAAGCGCGACTACTGCAGCAACAGGAGAGAGTTCGCGCGCGATAATAAAAATTATGCGCTAAGCGTGGAGGATAGCCGCCGATTAAAATCTTGACAAAAACGCAGGATCTGGATGTGCAAGTTACCGTTTCTGACTGTCGGTTTCCGGCGCGTTCGTTGCGGCGAGAATCGCACATACGCGGTCGCGATGAATATGAATTTCCCATCGTCGTTATATTAAACGCGCGTGTAAACGTAAATCTGATGCTCGATGAGCGGCAAACGTATATTTAGAAAGCACAGAACCGGTGTGGGCACATATAATACGGGGTCAGCTTTTATCGGCTACCAAAAATAATCGGATTTCTCGCGTTCGCGCCTTAATTCGAGACACCGTCATTTATTATCGGATATACGTTTCGTATTATCGCCGACATGAGCGATAATTCGTCGACTCTAAGTCGCGAAACATACGTCGTGAGAATTGGACACATAAATTCGGTATCATTGTTAACTGCGAAATCTATAATATTTCTCTCTTCCACTGCTACTTTTAATTTTTGTAATTTGAAATTTGTCTATTTTCTTCTTAATTTCATCGATTTCAAGATTAATTCGGCATTCGGGAGGAAACGGTTGGCTTAACGACGGTGCCTTAATTATCGCCCACCCCGATGTTTTCTCGGGTGTTTACCGTTACTTAAAACGGTACCCGCTATACAAATACAGCACGCCCGATGATTCGCCTCCGCCGCCGCCGCGCATTAAAGTCCGCGACCGCTAATAAACGCACATTCCAGCACTTTGTATCTGAAATAGCAGCGTTCGCTGCATGTTGCAACATCGTAATCCCAACCAGACCAGAAAATCAGGAGCATGCCTATCTCATTTGGCTCTTCGTTAAAAAATAACGACGTCGCGGCGGCTTGTAACGTGCTGCACTCGGTAATTGCATATTAGAAATAGATAGCGTTTCGCGAGCTCACTATTTGTGTAGGTATACATACATAAAATCTTGCTTGATATATCTTAAGGAAATAATCCTTTCTTCTTTATTTTATGCAAAATTGCAGATTCAATGAAAGTTATCGAATATAAAAATTCTTTTATCTAATCCATCTTCGCTGAGGTCTTGGAAAATGTTGAATGTAACGGATTGAGCGTTATCCTAAAATCAGTTCCGTATTCTTTACTTTCGCATGTCCTCCCGGTCCAGCTTGTTATGTAGCTGGTGCGAGTCTCCTGAAGCGGAACAAGCTGCCCCTGGGGACGGAAATCAACAGCTACCTCCGACGAAGCGCACGCGGTCGCGCGACCGTCTGTATTTTTTCTCTCTCTCTCTCTCTCTCTCTCTCCTTCTCTTTTCCTCCGCTAGCATCCCCCGCGATTAATTCGCGCTCGGCAGCGTCTTTATATCGGCGGCTCGATCGCGTTGGAGGCGGCGGTGGCGCGCGTTCGCGCACGCGGTGCGCTTTTTAAATAACTATAATGAGGGCAATTATCTTGTGCGCCGACAAGCAGAGTGTGACGAGTCGTTGTTACATATTGCGGCACGGAAGATGATCGCCCGAAGTAGATGGAAGAGGAGTCAGGGAGGAGTTAAGGAGGCGGAAGGAGGTGGTTGAAGGTGGTAGATGGCGAGAGGGGAAGAAGGGGGAGAGGGGGAGAGAGGGGGAGGAGGAGGAGGAGGAGGAGGAGGAAGTAAAGGCGAAGGAGAAAGAGGAGGCAGCGCGTGGCAGGCGGACCCCCTGTCTTCCTCTCCCACCTTTTTCCCCTTGCCCTCGTCTACCTTCGGTGGCATCACCGCCACCTCTACCGCCCTCGCCACCCGAGACTTTAACTACTTTCTTATTCGCTCGTTTCAGCCCGGCCTCGCAGGCATAATGCCTCGCAG